TTGACAAGGCCTCTGAGGAACCTAAGGGAACTTCGGCTGAGGACGCCCAGAGCGGATAAAGCCTTGTCGGATCATGTAGAGACAAACGACCATGTAATACCTGGTCATGTAAGAGTTCTCGCCGTGCGTATTAACCAAGCCGTGTAATCGGAAATTGAGTTTTCCAACTTCACGGCTGGGGGCTACGGTCAGTGCTTTTTCAACTAAGGCAGGTCAAGGGTCCAAGAGCCTTATCCTCTAAGAAGGATTCTCCGACGACAAGGCTGGGGGCTAGGGAGAGTGTATGACTCAAGTGACTGATCGAAGTTGCGAAATGAGAAAACACTCAAACACAACACATCCAGAGTAAGAAAATTTAGTTAGATAGATTCCTTTTCTATTTCACGAGTACCTCTTACTATTCATAAATGCTCCAAAATATATTACATATCTCCTTGAGATATTTTTTACAGGATATAAAAACTACCAGGATGGCCAACGCCAATCCATGGACTGAAAGACCTTCTCGGTGAGCGGCGCCATCGACTTCGCCAGATCGTCAATCTCAGCGGGAGTCCTCCGAGAACATGAGAACGCTTCGTGGAGGAACTCGAGGTGCAGCTGTGGGCAGTGATCTCGGATGCAGGCCAGCACATGCCCTTCGGCATAGCGGCTCGATCGACGGCACTCCTGCTTCAGGGCCTCGTCGATACGCTTGCCGATTCCTTCGAGCTGGGTGTAGGCCCCATTCAACCACGAGATATATCCGGCCGCCGACTCCTCAGGATTCCCGCGAGATACTCGGAGCTCCCTATAGACTCCAACCATTGCCGTACAACAGCTCCCGACGTACGAGTTGAACCACACCTCGCGACCTTGAAGGTCTTCCTCGGCTTGGTCTTTCTCCACTTCCACCATAGTTCTCTCGAGCTCGGCCACCTCGAACTTCGTCCTCCAGTACTGGATTCGACGATCTCGGTCGGCCAACGCGCTCTCGAGGTCTGCCTAACACGAAAAGGACTAAGTCAAGCTGTGCTTCTCTCCCGAGAACAAAGCAAATTAAGTCAATCTAAACAAAAGAGCAAAGGAAGTGAAGCCTAAAGTACCAACCTAAGGACGTCGTCGCCATGTCCGTCTCCGTGGACAGGCTTTAATCAACGTCATCCTGCGGCATGTAGGGCTCAAGCGCAAGTGCTGGAATGATTACTGGCATCTCAGGCTGCCTGCACTGCTGGACATCCTCGATATCAACATCTCTACAACGACAACAAAGTACTCGGAATCAACATGCTAAGAAAACAAAGAAAACAACTGCATACACAAGGGCAGTTTGAACCTACGAAAGTTTTACAGCATAATTGGTTAAGGGGTACAAGGGAAATAAAACCCTACGCATGTCATCGGTGGCCCCCTGATCCAAGACCTTCCTAAGGTCAAGATCAGGGTGCGCCAACCTCACGCACGCGACGACGTGGCACGCCCCGGTGTAGATCCCGTTGGACGTCTCCTCGCCGATTCTGGCCGCATGCTTGGAGGGGATCTCCTCCATCGCCTTGCCCAGCTCCGCGAGCGAGGACGTCAGCGAGAACTCGTCAGGGTTTGCCGGGATGGTGGTCGTGATGCCGCACTCCCCAGCGAGCTAGTGTCGGCCGGTGTAAGACACCCGCAACGAGCCACGGATCTCCGACAAGTTGTTCTCGAGCTCCGACATCCGGTGCTTGAGTCCTTGCCGCTGTCTTTCATTGCCGGCCACCAGCTCCCTCATCTTCATGAGGTCCTCGCAGGCCTCCGCCAGGTCGCGCGCTAGTTTGTCGGCGCGTTGGTTCGCTGACGACGCCGCCGACCTGGCCTCCTCGATTTCGCGGCCTAAGCCGCGAGCACCGGCCTGGAGGATGCGCTCCATCTCGGCTTGGAGCTCCCCCTAGGTGAGGACATCAGCAGGCGGGCCCCGAGCAGGCATAAGGCCACCAGCGGGGCCGCTCGGCGTCGCCTCCCGATCCCTGGCTATGACTACGACCTCTGTCGAGGCCAGTCCAGGGGATGCACTGGAGGCTGCGCCGGACCCATCTTGCGCCGCCTTTGCCCGCGCCGCCCTGCGAAGGATTTCCGCGATTTCACAAAGTCAGGCGATCAAGGTTTCGTGATTAAAACGACTTCAAAATCATCTACTTACTTTTCGCCAAGCGTCACTAGCCTTTGCCTTCGCTGAGGCGGGGGAGACGCATTCGAGGCCTGAGCAAGATAAGCATGGTGTGAGGTCAAAATATTCCGACTACACGTTAAAAGACAAGAGAGGCTTACTGATGGGTTAGGCGCCTTCCGACGGGTCCCGAGAACGGAGGAGAATTTCCTCCCCTTCTTCGAAATATTGCTGCCACTCGTCGTGGCAGCAGCAGCAGCAACATCAGACGCCCTCCTTCAACGACGACACCGCCTGATGGTCCGCAAGCGGCCCGATGACATCCGTCAGAGGGAGAGCCTGCGTACATGAAGTCATGATGCGATCCTAGGAAGATAGAAATAAAGGAGTCATCGAGTACAATCACATTGATTGCGGCTTCACGTTCAACCGGCCCCTTCTCGCAAAGAGGGACGGGGATGTCGCTCGCCGTCACCGGGCCGCTGATCATGACCTGGCCGACGTGGCGGGCCACGGTGTCGCTGTTTAAACCTGTAGATCGAGAACAGGAACTCGATAAGTCAGGAGAAACAGACATATTTGGAACAAAATCTGGAATACAAGAAAAATACACCGAGGAGAAACCCGAGTCGCGTCCTCCAGCCCAGAGTACTCAAAGGCCAGGTGGGCACGGGCCTGGAGCGGTTGGATCTGCCTACCAATGAAGTCGGCAGTGACTTCGTACCCCGACAACCCTCGTACTTGGAGGTCATCGACAATGTCAATGAACGACTGGAGCGAGTGAGTTAGGGCGGGTTTCGTGGTCCACTCTGGAATCTTGTCTGGTTGTTCCTTAAGGACAACAAGGACAGGGTCCGAGTTTTCTATCTGAAGATAGAACCACCTCGCCCGCCATTTGCTGCGAGAGGAAGGGCACTAGAAGGGGATGTAGCGCGACTTCAGGCCGTCCCGAAGTCGGAATCCGATGCATCCAGATACCCTATTGGATTCCATCCAGCGCAACTCGTAGTAAAAACAGAAGAGGTCAAGGAACGGCTCTACCCCAATGTAGGCCCCACAAAGATAAGAGAAGATACTGAGGAACGCGATGGAATTGGGGTTCAGGTGGACCAAGGAAATGCCATAAAAGTTCAAGACGAGAAGAAGAAATTCGGAGGGCGGAGGAATAAAACCGCAAGAAATGTAATCCTCAACCGCAATCATGCGGCCCAAGATGGGTTCGGGTTCAGTACCTCCTGCTTCCCTCTCCATGGTCCCCCGACCAAGGAGGGCGCCGTCATCCTGCAGTTTCTTCAAGGACGTGGTGGTGGAGGTGGACTTGTCGAGATGCATCACCGCCAGAGATCGCCGGAGAACAAATCGAGATGAGCAAGCTAGGGTTTTTTCTGCGGGAGTGGAGAAGACAAGGGGCGTGTGAAGGCTGGAGAGTTCTTTGGCAAACGGACTTCAAAATGGATTCCCAAAATCCCCTTAAATAAGCGCACTACCGACGGTGCGCATTCCAAGGAAAGGAGAGAGATTGCCACCAGAAAATTCTGGGTCCGTTACGCGCAACGGTTTTTCGGACTTCAATTTAAATTCACTCCTGACCGTTGGACTTCGTGCGGTGTTGTCGATAACTCTTCGTCTCTACGGTTCCCACACTGAGATCGACCAGATGAAAACGACAACGATTCCGACATCAGAAGCCACGATCGGTTACATGAGTTCATTTAAGCAGAAGTCGGGGGCTACTGTCAGGGTTACGGATAAGGTATACCCTCTATCCTTGGATATACGTTGTATACCGATACGGTATACCTACACGTATACGGATGTTTCCTGTATGCATTAAGGAAATTTAACATGAGGTAGAAATGGAGTCCACAGACGGAAGGGAACCTACTTGGACAGGACTGGGTCGTTACTATATCGTGAGGGGTCCGATATCTCCGAGTCCTACTTAGAGATCAACTGACCCGCGATATAAAAGGGACCCACCGGGAGGACCTAAGGCATTGAATCTCATAGCCAAGACAACCGCCACAGCTTAGGAAGTCGGAGCCTATAGGAGCCAACTCGACTATGGTCTTGTCGGTATCATCGAGTTCCGTTATTCCCTTTATAATCTGTGATTTCCATCATATAATCCCATACCAATTTGATTAGGGCTATTACCTGTCAAGGGGCCTGAACCAGTATAATCCTTATCCGTTCCAACGTATATCCGGTCTACGGGTATCCATCGTCGACAGGTATTATCCGTGCGCTTGCGGATTTTATCTGTGACGTTAAGAAATACCAACAGTGGTTTCACGAATTCATGGTGAAAGGTGCGTTGCACGGGCAATGTGTTGTTCATCTAGTTCATGGGATTTCATGTTGTATATGGATCCTACGTCGAGAAGGTTGGGCATCTTGTATCAATAATATTACTCTTATATTTATGCAATTTTGGAGGTGGCATTGGATTTAATTAATTTGATTCATTTAATTGTTTATAGTAGGATGGATGGCTACAGTGTGATAAATAGTATAAATTAATTTGGAAAATATATGCCATTTGGCATCAGATATGATACTATCTAGGACAATAAATGCATTATATTAAACATTAGCTGTCCAATACGCAATGTGGGTTGTCCCTCAAAGGTATAAACACACACTATTTACTAAAAACCGCAGCTATTAAATTGCCAGCTAAACATCCTGTTCTACATATACCCAAGCAAGTGCAAAGTTGAGAGAGGTAGAGAAAGAGAGGGAGGGAGCGGAGGAGGGCGAGAGAGAGAGAGGGGAGAGAGGAGGAGGGGGAGGGAGAAAGAGAGAGAGAGAGGGGGGGAGGGAGTGGAGGAGGGGAGAGAGAGGGGGGGAGAGGGCGAGGGAGGGAGAGTGGGTGAGGGGAGAGAGTTCTTCGATCTTGGTTTAACCATGGGCAAGTCACCATCTTTCGGGATCTTAGATGACAACGATTGTGATGAGGTCAAATCCTCTGACGAATCAACAAAGAATTTGCAAAGTGACGACGATGATGTCGATGACCGCCAGGTTGCTTCCAGATGGCTGGATAATGGAGGTCTATCTTGGTGATGATGGCACCATCTACCGGGTATAGAAATCTGTAGATGGCCATCTATTTCTTTTGTAGAACTTAAAATTTACTGCTTGTTCTAAAAGATTTTTGTTGCAATGTTAATTTTCTTTGTCTTTGTACAGTATTACATATGCCCCGTGTCCGGAAGAACTTTCACAATGAAGTCAGAGGTGCTGCATTATCTTTTCTCAGAGATGGATCAGTGCTTCACGGAATCAAAGAACCGTGCTGTAGGCAGCAACCTTACAGTGAGTTATATATATGACCATATCATTCAACATTTTAGTTGTGTTTAGAATTAGTACATCTGAGTTCTACCATGATTTATGTAGAGGACACATGAATGGCTTCCAAAGGGATGGCTGGTTGAGATTAGGGCCGGTGGAGACAACATGGACAAGATGTACAAGGTAGCTTTTCCATATTAACTCTATGCTAGTTTGTCTATGTCTGCCAGTAGTACTCAAATGTGACAATTTATTATGAAAAGTTCAACTATTGAATGCAACGGTACTAAGAAGTTAAAAACAATATAACAAAACTATTTTTGCAAATGTCTCCCTTGTATTGCTCAAGTGGTCCATATGGTAAATCGCCTGTGCAATACGCCAGTAGGGCGTTGTCCACAGACCACCTTAGTACAGATAAGCTCGATGCTAAAATGACATTCAAACTAGTACCTACCTTATACATATTATAAATTTGTTTGTTCCAATATATTGTAACGAAGCAAAAGATTAATTTCGTAGTCACTACAATACTGGGTATCCCATCTGTTGAACCAATAGAGTTCATTGGTTAGCGATGAGGGCATGCCATCTTTAACTATTGGTTAACAATTTACCCTCTTCGTCCCAAAAAAAGTCCAATCCTACCTACGAACCTGGACACATGTGTGTTTAGATTTGTAGCTAGAGTTCGTCTTTTTTGGAACAAAGTAGTAGTTAGTAAGTCACTTATAATGGTTGAACTATGCCATATGAGTGTATCACCATCAACTGATTACTCTGATCTTATGGATCATTGCTATGAGGATGATCAACGAAAATATACTGCAAAACATGTGCACATGTAGTGTTTGCTCACCGTCATTACCATGTTGGCTGCTCATCTGCAACAATATTGTTGGATGAGAGCTTGAGGATGCTCCCCCAAGTGAGTGAATCTGATCATCATCTTGTTTCCTGTTTCGCAGTTCTATGTGTACCCACCAAATAGAGTTCGACTGTTCTCAAAAGATGATGTACTACTCTACATTAAAGAAATGAAGATTTCTGGATTTGATACAGATGGACAATGCAACACAAGTACTCAAGAGAATGTATGTTTCTTGTTGGAACTATTTCACTTATTTGAATAATAATTACTCTTTCCGTGTGGAGTCTGTCTAGATTTGTAGTAGTAGGATTTGTCTAATTAAGTACTAGGTTGCTATATCTAATACTATTAGATGATTTCTCACTTTGCAGAACTAATGTTTGGGTAGTTTCCTGATTGACAGTATTGTTGATTGATTTGTAGATTCTTGCAATTCTGGAATTTAACCCTGAAGGGCTGCCACAAGGATGGGTGAAAGAAGTGGTCTTTAGAAAGACACATACTGGTAGAATTAGAAGAGACCGGGTATGTGATTGCAGTTAATCATTATTATTCACTTTGAATGTACATGGGTTTTTCACATTGTCTTTTGCAGCACTACACTGATCCCATTAAAAGTTATGTATTCCGTACCAAGAGGTCAGCCGCTTTCTACGTGGAAACAGGGAAAGTAACAATACGTGCCTTTGTTCAGAAGACAAGTGTCCATGAGGTGTACTCTTTTGAAAAGTTCACACATTTGGTAATTGTTCTTCAAAATTTCTCACACTACATGCTTGTTTTACTTTCGATAAAACAAATCACACAATTGAGTGTAGTTATATGGAATAACCATGTTTATATCTGTAGATATTCTGAAAAATGTATTAGTTCTAACCCATCTACTTTAAAATGGTATATCTAGGACACACGCCTAACTATAGTTGCTCCCTATCATGATGTTACTACTAGAACACCCAATAAAATCCTTCTACAATATGCTGCATCCACGTGTTCTTACAATGTGCTTTACCATATGTTTCCATGGCAGCATGAAAGCTTACAGAAAAGACTAAACTTAGGAAGGACGAACCAGCTGCGTACACGATCATCGAAACTCCAAAAGCTATCACTGAAAGAAGGGATACTTAGTGATGACCAAAGTTCATCTAGCGGTAAGTTTGTTCTTCCCGAGGAACAAAAGTTCATCAGTTTTTTTGTGTTAAATTAGTTTCTATAATGCGTTCTTCAGGTTGTGCTATATATCCAGTACAATTTTACCACAATAATATGCTTCAAACTCTATGTTATAATTAATATAGCCCAAAAATAAGACAGATTGATCCTAGCTAGAAGACCAATATCTTTTTAGGGGATAATTTTGCTATAAATTCTGATAACTGATTAAATAGTGCACCTAATAAGCAAATCCATATGACCCAATTACACCATTAGTTTATTTAATTTTGACATCCTACCTTCCATGCGACTAAACTCTACATTTTGGCTATATTTCCAATTTTTCTTACAAAGTAGTACTATTATATTACACCATTAGTTTATTTAATTTTTCAATTTGTGTACAATTAGATCTAGTACCACATAGAAAAAATATTTAAAAAGTGTCATGTAACATTAGTTTCTCAATCATTTGACTTCCTTAAACATTGTACAAAGTAAAAATACACTATATATTTTACCACCTTAATCATTGTGCAAAGTCATAGTTATTAGAAGCTATGGCAGAAACAAAAAGGAGGCAATGACTAGTTGTCTATAGACATGGCCACATGGGTTTTGTTTGTAATGACTTGTAGTGGTGGCTCTGAGACACCTCTTTCTTTCTTTTTTTGAAGCATGGGTTTATTTAGACTTTTACTGTTTGCACCCTTAGCAATAATTGATATTATATTTTGCAAAGGAAAACGAGACTCACACATCTGGAGAGCTCGATAGGCGATAAGGTAGTGCTACAGTAAACCAGCCCTCTTGACCCTCTACCCCATCGATTCTAGCAGCTCGCTGCCGACAACAGCCAGAATGGGTTTGGGTGTCCTTTAGCTTTAGGTTTAGTGTTGACAGGTTTCCTGTGTCGGGCGCTTTGTCCTATCTTGGATCTGCTGATGTTGTTTCCACGCTATGGAGGGGTGGCAGCACTGCTGGAGATGGATTGCTGGTGGTGTTCTGTGCAGTTGTGGCTTGGAGGGAGTTGCTTTGGTGGCGGTACTGGTGGTGGCGGGTGTGGGTGGAGTTGGCCACACAGAGCTAGAGGCAGTGCGGACAACAACAGTTACTAGTAGAAGCTAAGTCTGCTAGTTCGTACTGCTAGAGGGCTGGAATTACAGTCTTGGCTCAATTGACTTCTTTGGTCTCCCCGTCCCCTTCTTCAGTCTTCACTCCACCTTGTTCTCCCCTTGTCCAGTCCTCGTGGCGATGGTTGCCCAGTGCGGCAACTTTAGCAAGGTTGTGGTTTGCTTGCTGGATGACCGCCTTGTCTGGTGGCTTGGTTGGCGGCAGTGGCCATTGTTCACGAGGGCAGCGAGTCTAGACAAGTGAGCGTTGTTCCTCATTGTGTCGGTTGTCTTATGTGACCATTCAAGCAAAGGTGGCTCTTATCTTTGCTTTGCTGGCTGGTTTTGCAACAACGATCTACGGTCATGCGGGCAGCATGTGTGAAGCACTCCAAAGTCATCCTTTTCTCTAACTCCACTGCTATGTTCAGGCTAGAAATCCATGTTGTCGGTCTAGTAAGGCAGAAGTTTACTAACCACCATCCTACGGCTTTCAGGATTAAGGTTGGCTGGAGATCAAAGATGTCTCTTGACTCCGTTGATTGCAGCAGTATCTGTGTTAGGTCCTCCATTCAGGTTGAACGCAGTCTGGCCATGCAGCCTTTGTCGTTAGGTTCACAGTTAGTACTACTCAGATTTATCGGGGAACTGTAGAGTAATCCGTTATTGAGTCCGGAGAAGCCTTCTCAAAATCTATGACATAAGAAAAAAAACATCAAATTGTGCCGCTCCAGTGGAGGCTGCAGAAGGGGAAGCTAGAGTATCAAGCAGTCTGCATGCTTGTAGCATAGGCATCTGAATGTGGATGTAGTCATCCCGGCAAGGCCGCTGCCCCCTGTCGAACTTATCATTTTCTGCTGTTATATGTTTTCAGTTGCACCATTGTTATAGGTAGTGCATTCACCCTTTCACGTCAAAAAGATGGTTATGCTCTATGTGATGCTTTGCTTCAGGCGATGTACCACGGATTTATTCACTTAACTCTATCCTTAATAAATTTCATACGTTTTCAGAAAAAAAAATATTATATGCTGCCTCTCCCACCTTTGGCGATTCCTGACATCCTTTTATTTCTTTCCATACCTGAAGATGGCGACTCTGACTATTCAGATACACTACAAGAGGCAGGACAAAAGAAGGTCAATCATGTGAAGGCTACTCTAAAAGGCAAAGAAGTAATGGCTTCAACTACTGTCAAGCGTCCTAGAGGGAGGCCCCCCAAACGAGGAAATGCAAGAAAGTGAACAAGTTGCATTGCAAAAAACAAACATCACTATGAGACCAAAAGTGGCCAAGTGGGAGGTTGCCAAAAATCATAACTAGCTCAAACTAAAGAGATCATCAAAGGAAGTGTGTTGTGTCTTTACAAAACATTTTCCATTAAATGGTGAACTTGTTAGTCATTCTCCATGAAAAAAATTTGTGGCATACATATTTTGAACTAGCTAATATATTGACGATTCTCGTGACCCAAAAGGTTTGATGGTTAATGTGTGCTTGTTTAATTCCGTTGTCCAAATTACCAATATCTATTTTTTGAACTGCAATTCACAATGCTGGTTAATTTATACTTGTGGCGTAAAGATTTTTTTTTGAAAATCAGACTTTACACTGCTGGAAAACCTATCTTTACTACCAGTTTGCAACCCCCTTTAGTCCCGGGTTGCAAACAGGGACCCTGAATCCGGGACTAAAGATGCAGTTGGTGTTACCGACTGGGATTAAAGGATTTTTTTCCTTTTTTCATTTTTTTTTAGCTGCTTGCATTTTGATTCTAAACCGAGTTGCTCCCTACATCCCCAAATCAAAGTAACAACATCACAAATCATAGATTCACATCACAAATTTAAAAAAAAAACATCACAAAAACATCACAGATCCAATGAATCACAAATTATCAAAAAAAGAGGAAAGAACATAAAAAAAACCGGCGCTGCCACCTGCCACCTCCTGCCTCCCCTCCGGCAAAGGGGAGGGCGCCGCCGGCCGCCACCTCCTGCCTCCCCTCCGGCAAAGGGGAGGGCGCCGCCGGCCGCCGGCTCGGTGAGCTGTAGGTCGCCGCCCGCCGCTCGTCGGCCTCCTCCAAGTCCGCCACAGCCATGATTACCGAGACGACGACGGCGGCGCGCCGGCGACAATGCTGGCCGGCGGCTACCGCTTCTTGTTGGGGATGCGGCAGCCGCTCTTCCTTATCACCTGCCCGTGAAGGAGAGAGGAGATCGGGTGGAGAGGAGAGGAGGGGATCCGGAGATAAGGAGAGAGGGAGAGAAAATGTCGCGCCCTAAAGCACCCTAAAATTTTCCTACCCTTTTTAAATGGTTCTTGAGAAATTGTAAAAGTCGAATTAGCCTAAAAGGCGGCTAGATTAAACAGGAAAGGGGTGTGGGAATTTTTGTTAAGTTCCTTGTGCCCTCAAACGCGTAACCAATTTTTACTTGAATTTTTAGATCACCGGGAATTTTTTTTAATACCACAATAACCTTTGTCGGCTTATTTTAAAAATAAAAGAAGCCAGTTCAACCCCTCTCCCCTTGTGGGCCATTTTCGGCCCACTCATTTTCCCTCTCTCCTCTCCCCCAGCCCAGTCTGGCTACTCCCCTCCTTCTCCCGCCTGGGCCGCCCCGGCCAGGCTCGGCCCATGCCGTGCCGACGCCCCGCCTCCACCGTTGATGGGTGGGGCCCACCCATCAGGGTCACCCCCTTCCTCTGGCTCCTCCCCTCCCTGTCTCCTCGGCATGCCCCGCCGCCTCCCCGCCAGCCGGCCTGCGTGCCAACCCCCTCCCTCTCCCTGATTGGAGCAAGAGGAAGCGCCGCCACCCCCTCCTCTTCCTCTCCCCCATTTACTCCCTCCCCAAATCGCGGCCGATGTGGATTAATGGCTCGCCGGCATGCCGGCACCATTGATGGCCGACGGCTGGACCCGCCCGGCCGTTTCTATAACACCCTGAAAATTCGACCAACAAAAATGAATCCTAAAACACGTACTTTCAAAAACTTATTGAATAAACTACATCATGCCGGATATGTTTGCCTTTTAAATAATCGTTAGATGTAAAAGAATTTAATAAGAGTAAACCCTAAAAAGAATTAGTTGATAAAATGATTAAAATACAAATTAGAATAAGTTAGTTAAGATTGGGAACAAATAAAATATTTGTACAAATAAACTGGTGATTTTAAAGATTTAATTGTGGGTGGGATAGATTTAGTCCTAAATAGAAATTACAAATATATATATATATATATATATATATATATATATAGATAGATAGATAGATAAAATAATGGGTGGTATTAATTTTTGGATCAACTTCCATATTGGTTTAACATACAAATTTAGTAAATGTTCATTTGAGTAAAAATTGGAATTATGAGATAAGTTTCAAGTGGGAAATAGGCCAAATCGGATTAAATAAAAAAATGTACTATTCATTGTAGCAATTTTTATAATTAAATGGGTTAGGTCAAATTAATCATAGTAAATTATTTGGGCCCACAATAAATATTAAGGGATTCATACAACCATATAAATTAATATGGAGGGACCTCGAATTAAATAGTCACTAATTAAGAAGTAGTGGGACTACCATACACGTGAGCACACACGCCAAGCTGAGCCTGCCGGGCCTAGGCCGAGGTGTGGCATGCCGGGTTTGGTCCTCCAACTGTTTTGTTTTTATGAGCAAAGGTGTAACCGACAGGCATAAATGGTAACGTTACTGCAGTAACGGATGAGACCATAATGCTCTATCAATCTTGTAATGTCTCCCGTGCTTCAGTCTTTATCTTCCACTGATGTGGACTAGGGTTCCCGATCTTCCGAAATGTTCTGATAAACATCCGATTTGGTGGAGTCACAACACAATTCGATCCAGCTTCTGAATAAACACGCTCTTGAGCCCTGCAATCGCAGCACCACGTCTCCTCTGGTTATCAACCGTGCCGAAACCCGGTTGACCTCGCCGAGAAGGCTAATCCCTACTTGCGAATCGAAGAACACAAACAAGAATAAAAAAGAATACAACCAAATTGCAGATGAATGATCAAGCTCACAAAGTTGGGGTCTTACAAACCGATCTAGCAGCGAAACTGTTCTTGACAGATTAATTTAACCAAAACCCAAACCCTAAAGGTGGCGGGGGGTCCTGATATATAGAGTTTAGGGTCGTGCAAACAACCTTTCATGCAACCCTAATGCGTTCCAACACGATACATGGCCTAAAGGCCCAAATACGGCGACGCAGCACCGGGACAGATTCTGGACATCAACTTGTTCGGTCGATTCCCCATGACTCGGAAAGAGTTTGGCTATCGGACTAGAACCATTGGAAAGTTTATCTTCTTAGCTTTCCATCCATAAAAATAATGCACCAATCCGAGCTCGTATGAGACCTGATCGTCCGTTTTAGAGCAAACTAGTCCTGGACTCCGAAACGTACTCGAAGTTGACTTGATTTGGACCTCCATCTTAACTTGGACGCCCTTGCTGATCCTCCACACCTCTAAGCCCCTCTCTAAGTGTCTCCTTGTCCTCTCCATTGTTCCTAATCATAATATAATCATTAGGTAACAATCTATTCTCAAAATCATATAAAGAAGAGTATAGAAACGAGCTCACCTCTAAATTCAATTGTCGCGCGCGAGCTTTTGTAATCGGTCCTTGAATGACCGGCGGAGAATTGTTGTGTATATCCGAAGGAGTGATGTCCTCATCATCCACCCCGAGATGGATAGAAAACCTTCTTCCGTTCATCTTGTTAGTGATATGCCCTAGAGGCAATCATAGAAATGATTGTATCACATACTATGTTTACATATTTATTCGACTTTGTTCCTTAAAATAGATAAACTCATTAGTGGTTAATGAATATGTGATTCTTTCATGAGACTCTTTATGTTATGTGTGGCTATTTTTAAAGGATCCCTGATCAAATATCATATGTGGAACAAATATGTTTAGATGATCAGCACATGTATTAATTGATGATCATGTCTCATGGATCATGGTATAGAGATACTAAATTAATAATGTGGACACATGTTAGTGAACATGTTGTTGGATAGACCCAACATGAGACACTGCAAGAGCCATATGTGTTGTGTCATCAGTGATCTCATTTAGTGTTGGTGTTGAATCCTTAGACCTGAGATTATCATGGTTCCCAACATGTATAGTAGCTTACTTAGGGACTGCTAAACGCTACTCCGTAATTGGGTAGTTATAAAAGTAGTTTTCGGGTATGCTATGAAACATGTAGTGGGATATGAATAATTAAGATGAGATTTGCCCCTCCTATGGAGAGATATCTCTGGGCCCCTCGATGTTGTAGATTATGGAAGTGCATGGCCATACCAAAGGTGATTGAGGAGTCAATCACAAGTTATATAATCTATAAACAGGTTCAAGTGAATAATTGAGCTATTAGAGGATGGCACATATCTAGCCTTGAGCTTAATCGATATCGTGAGGCAAAGGGGTTCATATAAGTATACACTAGAGGTTCAGCCGATATGATCTTTATGTATGCCCGGTGGGACAATAAGTTCTGCTAGGGGCCGCTGTTTACGCGTGGACCGAAAAGGAGTTTTCGGGTTACAGCCGAATATACATGAACCTACAGGGTCGCACGCTTAATGGGCTGGAATAAGAGGATTGGATGGATATCCAATATGAGCTTAATTCGAATAGGGATCCGAATAGGAGTCCTATGGGCCTTGGAGGCCCGAGTGACGGATCCTATATATTCGTGAGCGGTGTAACCGGCGGAGGTATTGCATCACGTGAGAAACCCTAGCCGTCACTTCCCTCCCCGAGCAAAACCCTAGCCGCGCGCAGGTGCTAGCACATCTGCGCGTGGCGTTCCATCCCTGTACGTGTGGATACCTGTCACGCCCAGAAATTCCTGAATAGAATTCCAAGCAGAATGTGCATTAAAACCCCCGTCCAGGACCGGTCAGGGTACACAAACAACAAAGTTGACATACAGATCCACGTCTTACAAACATTATAACAGTCTTGCATAAATGCAGCGAAAAATTGAAAGATAAATGGAGCTAAGCCTTGGCTTGGACTGCAGCGGGAACACCACTCCACAGGCATCCTCGACGGCACGGATGAAGCCTACTCCTCGGAGAAGCCACCATCTGACGCATACTCAAACTCTGGGGTTTTGGGGGAAAAAAAAGAGCAAGACTGAGTACAACCACCATACTCAGCAAGTCATACCAGAATAGGGGTATGATGCAGGGTATTACCAAAGGATGGCCAGAGAGGTTCTTTTGCATAAAGCGAGCATTTATAAACAGTAGTTGAAAGCAGTAAAATAGATGTAATAATTAATCAATATTATCCATCCACTGTCCAACGCTACACCACGTTGCAACAGGCCCAACCATCCACCTGAACTAATCAATTCCATTAGACCAAACTAGGGTGAGACTAATCACGGTGAATCTGGTT